CCCCGAATTCTGGGAAGATTATCCTGAAATGCTTAAGGACTTCAACAGCGCTGCTGTTTGGGTGTACGTTTTCCAGGACAGGGTTCCTGCCAGCTGTGACCAGCCCATATTCCCAAAGCACCAGGGCCACTTTAAATCCACTGTCACTCTTCTGTCTTGAGCTGCAAGCATCACTGAGATAGCAATACGTATTGCTAAAGTGCTAGTTTTTAAAGTGCCAGCACACCTGGAGGATTTACATGGCTTCTCCCAGTACTTTTTATTTGGATAGCTTCCTATCACAAATGTTAGGTGCACAGTCAGCATCTGCACTATTGGCACAGAGCAGTGTATGTCCTAGCACACCCTGCAAGTGGCAGAAGGCCAGTGCTGCAAGGTTAAAAGACAAGGCTGAATTTACACAGGGAGGAAGTAAAGGAGCTTTTTGAGGCAACTATACTGGACTTGTGCTTTTATCCCAAAAAGAACTTAAGTACAAAAAAGCTAGTAAAAGAGAAAGTAGCAAGTAGATGTAATTTACCCTGAAGAGTTCTGAGCGAGGCTGATGAATTGTAATAATCACAATCCTGTCTTTGTGTGCAAGCTCTGAGAGCAGCGAGACAATCTGGTTTGCAGTCAGGCAATCCAGCCCTGTTGTTGGTTCATCAAGTAGCATGACCTCTGTGGAGCAACAAGAAAAAGCATTAAAACTCAGGCCAACAGAGAGCAAATGTTACAGCTTCTGCATTTCAAGCTAGTACGACCAATACTGTAGAAATTGCTTTACATGTGAAGTTCCATGGGTAAGCAGAGCATGCACAGTTATTGTGACTTGATATTTCATCTGTAGTTAGCTTCAGTGGTTCAGTTTCAGCTACTAGGAATAAGGACAAAGAACTACAGCAAGATCATAGCATAATCTTTTTTTTTTTTTTCCTATGTTCAGGTGAAATCAGAAAATTACCGAAACAGATTTGATGTCTACACATGCTTCTAAGATAAAATTCATCGTGTATGCAAATGTAAATATAACTGACAGAGTTAACCTCAAGTTATCATCTTAATTAAAGATATATATACATAGTGAATTAATTGTGAGCAAATTAAGAGTTATATTAAAATATGACATGTATAATTCCATAAATGAGAGCAGTGGTGTTTTTTAACTTTTCTTTATCGTTTTATTGCACATGGAAGGGTAATAGTTAGTCAAATTGATTGTTTTCACATAGATAAGATAAAGTACAGAAGAGGGCAGCTCAACTTCAGTTAGGGTTTAAAGAGGAGGAAGGAGAACTTACAGGTTTATTTACACAGGATTATTGTAACATGAGCTTAGTGAGCAATGAATGCCCCCAGTGAACTGTCCAGGAATCACCAGTAGCACACAGTGCCTGTGGAATCTAAATTCTCCCTCCTGCCTGGTGTGCAGTCCTAGTGCATCTGCAGTGCTCTAAGGTCTCTGGAGTCCAAGAAATGGGTGGTATGCATTGGCTCTGCAAGATTCTAGCACCTTTAAGAAACCATCTTAAAACTGATGTAATTTACAATGCTGTTTCCCGTGGCTAATCCTACTCACTCTGTTACTCTGCTTTTTCATTCATCCGACTTGGTTTTCTTTACAGTAAAACTACAACCACATAGAAAGCATGGTATGCATCAATATTTGGATTCTTAACAAGAGAAATACAACATGAGGGCTATTATTCTCTTGAGCAATTTACTCTGTTTTGTTTGTATACATTCCAAGTGAGCAAAGTTCATGTGCTGTCTTTTTGACTTTGGCATTTATGTGACACTCACACATACGTGGTTCAATGACAGTTACTCCACTACAAAACTCAGTGCTTGCTTATGTACAGCTCTAATTGGTTCAATAAACCATCAATCAACGCATCAACCAACATTTCGTACATGGGAAGAGGGAGCCCAGAAAGAGGTAAAATGGATAAGTGCAGGTCTAAATGTATGTTCATTCCCTAAGATTTTAAAATTCACTGATTTCCAAGACCAACTAATAGATTAATGGCAGACCTGAATGGCTCACCCTTCTCCGTTATTGCTAGACTAGCTTTTGCTGAATTATAGAACAAAATTGCTTTTGGATTTTCAAGTGGTTTATGAAAGACCATAGCAGGTGCAGAAAGTGACACTGCTCTGCTTTACTCTGAAACTCCACACAGGGGTACTTACTTGGATCTTGTAATAGCTGGGCTGCAATTGAAACACGACGCCTCTCACCTCCAGAAATTCCTACAAAAATACGGCTTCCAATTATTTTGTCAGCAATGTGGCTAAGACTCAGCTCAGCCATAACTGCATCTACCTGAAAAATAATTACAATTTAGAAAGACTAATTACTGTCCAACTCAGATACTCAGGGAGAAAAAAAAAAACAAAAAAAGGCATAATTTTAAGCTAAGACTTTCCCAATATGCTGCTTTTATCCATTCTAGTTGGAAGGTACTTGGCCTCATTTCAATTTGATTATTTTTAATACAGTATTTCAACTAGTGTTTAAAATGCATTTTCATTTCTATTCTAAAATGAGTAGAATTTTAGCTTCAGTTGACATTAAGAGAAGAGCATTTTGAAGGTGGTGCCAGAAGTTATGCTATTAAACATAATGTGCTGGTCTTGCTTCCACAATAAGGGAGCAGAAAGGCAAATCAATTTGGGGGCAGTATGAAATACTGAATGGAAGACAGGTGAAGAGAGAAGACAGAAAGCTAGCACCTTTGATTAGGTGCATCTAATCTTTACTCTCAACAGAGGCCCAAAAGAGCCCTCTAGTAGATCAGAAACACACCTGTTTTATGGAGAAGGTAGCTTGTAAGGAGCTTAGTAGTGCTTTTCAGGGCTGCCCTGGTTAGTGAGAGAGCACCTAAGGAGCCAGAGTAGTGCCAAAGACATCTCTGCTGTTCATGAGACTCGCCAGCATGCATGGCCTCAAGCACCCCAGAGAGGTACGTGTCTCCTAGATGCCAACAAGGAGCTCTGTATGCTATATTATAGCAGCACATCGGGCAGCAGTTAACTGCTGCAGCTTTGGGCTGAAGAGTTTTGTTCCATCATATTGGCTGTTCCCCAAGGCATCACCACAAGCTCCCTGTGGAAGTGCTTAGCGCCGAGGGGTCCGTGTTCTACTCCTGGCTCAGGAGGAGGATTACTCAGCCGCAGAATAAAGATCAGGAAACCTCTTAAACATAAAACAGTCAGTGAAAACATTACGTGATGTCATGTCTGCATTTTTGGTGGAAGATGATAATATACAGACCTTCTTTTTGATGACACTGTTGGAGCATTTCTGAAGAGCGAGTAAAGCTGTGTAGGTCAGAGACTCTTGTATGGTGAGGAAGCTTAGCAAAGCATCATTCTGAAAAGAGATGAAGGAAGCAGGAGTTAGTTCAGTAGGAATTAAGAGACTGCTTTTGCTCGCACACGTTCATTCACTCATGCATTTTATTAAATGTTTCGTACTACATTTACTACTGAAATTGCAAAACTTTAGTCAGAATACAATAGTGCATTACAATAGCAACTTTCACTTTTCTTTTTCCCTTTTTTTTTTTTTTTTTTTTTAATACACAGGAGGAAGTATAGTATACAGAAACAAATGAGGAGATTAACCTGTGGTACATAAGAGAAGCAGTCTCTAAACTGTTCCTTCTTCAGATGACGGCCATTCACATATACTTCTCCAAAGAAACTGTCTTTATGTCCCAGTCTTCCTGATATTGCATCTAAAAGCGTTGTTTTCCCAGATCCTTTCAAACAAAAGAAATTAATCATATGATGAGATGAATTTTGCAATCCCAAGTGTGATAGCCTCACTTCGATGCAGACATGAGAACAAGAAATCTTTTTTCCTTAATAACGTTAAAGAAATAGGGAAGTAAATGGAAACCTAGAACATGTGTGTGTGTGAATTAACATTTATTTCACAGAAATTCACACTTTATAGTGGACCATTTGGGTTTAGAGGTAACCTAATATCTTACTGAAGTTATAACTGTCAGTTAGATGACAGAAGATAGAACTCTGAAAACAAATGTCATGTTTTCGCAATGCAAGGGTTAAAAGCAATTGCAATTTCACTATTTAAAGCACACTCAGTCACATTCAGGCTACCATGGAAGTCAGTAGTATTAACTCTGATTTTATTCTTTTAAGGTACAAGAACAACTTACCAGAATTTCCTAAAATCCCCATAATCTGGCCACTCTCTATGTGAAATGAAACATCTTTAAGTATTTGCCGAGTCCATTTTTTACGGTGCAAAGGCACATTCCACCAGGGGCCAACACGCTCTCTTGGAAAACAAACATCAGAAAGGAAGAAACAGCGAAGATGTAAAAAGCTTTGCGTGAAGCACACCAGCACAGGAAATACACTTTACAGCATCTTCTTCAAATACATTTGAAGAAAAACTCCTGGCTCTGGAGAAGAGACCTGCTCTGCCTCCTCTGAGCTGCCCACCCCACCCTGAGGCGGCGGCCCAGCGCCATGAGGCAGGTGGTCCTAAAATGGCTGCCAGTCTTCACTGGGCTGAAGCCAAGCCTGCAGCCCACCTGTCCCTGCCCCTCTCCCCTCCATCTCCAGGTCACGGCAGCTCCCAGCAGCTGGGGGCTCCCCCTGCCACCCTCCCCAGTCCTACCTGACGGTGTAGGAGACACTCCGCACGCTGATACTGTTGGGAGGCTGTGCCAAAGCCTTCACCTCACCCGCCTGCCCATCGCTGCCGCCCCCCTCCATGGCAGAGGGCTCTGTGCACGACATCTTCCAGTGCCGGGCCTGTGTGCTGCCGCCCTCACGCTGCCACCATGCCTCCGCCGGGTACGGGCAGCTCCTTGCTCCTTCTGGGCTGGAGCAACTCGCTGCCCCCAGCCCTCACCACCCAGGGAAAATGCCTAAAAGAAAACCGAGCGGCTCCCTGTGCTTTCTTTTCTTGAGAACAACTGATAGGCAATCAGCAGAGCCCGCTATCTGATGTACCTTTAGCCCGAGCTGTTCCTGTCCCAGAGCAGGGGAGTATTTCCCTGTCCACAGGGTCACACCAGCCGCAGAGACGCAGCGTGCCAGGGGACAGGGTGCTGCAACAAAAGGGGCTGGGAAGAGCCAAGCTCAAAGGCAAGGGGAGAAGGCTCGCCCCGCTTCTCAACAAACCCATTGCCAGAGCACCGCAGGGTGCACGGCCCTGCACTGCCACCATGGAGGGACCCCCTGAGCACATCCCGCTGGAAGGTGGTGGCTGGAGCCAGGCAGCACAGGAGGTGAGTGAGACCGGCAGGAGGGACCCCTTAGCGCTGCTTTTCAGACAACTTAGGGTCATGCTGCTTTCTGCTGCATGCCTGCACTGAAGAGATTAGTCAGCATTGCTTGCTGTGAAGGTAGGAACTGTGCACAGGCTGTGATCACCATCTGCCAGACACCTCCAGCAGCAGTACGTCTGCCAGACAGGGAACGGGGGAAATGAAGCTCTTCTAGCAGCCCTCAGGTGAATCTGAGAGTTACACAACTTGGGTGAAATGAAAACCCAGACTATGAGCCACTGGAAGAGCTTTAATCCCCTGAAATGCCAAAGGATGCAGGAATTAGGTTGATCTCTGATGGCTGACTCAGGATAACATGCCTTTTGCCTGTTATTTTATAAGACATTTATTCAGCAGAGATTGTAGTGAAGATGATGGTTCGCTAAATTGGTTAGTTAAATTATTTCCCTGTCTGATTAACTTTTTCTTACTGAGCAGACGTTATTCGCAGATACCATTTACTCTTTGAAAGCACAGACATTAGCAAATTATCTTCTCTCTGTGTGTGATGGTGAATTAACTGCTTCAGGTTACTATGGTGCAGTATGGATTAATTAAATAATGAACATACTTCCAGTGCACCTTAATTTTTAGCTGCTATGAAATATGAATTTCAATATGTACCATTTTGATCCAGTAGACATTAAAATTCCAGTAGTCATCCACTTTTTTTCCTCAATAATAGAAATAGAGCCTAATCTCTTTATGGCAGCATGGCATTTGTCTCCACGTTGAAAATAAACCCATTTAAACTGAAAGCTAATAGACCACCACAACACAGCGTATTTGGCCATCTGACATGCCTCTAGAAGAAACAGCATATCATGCTGATTAACAGATAACTCATTTCAACCCTTCATGCTTTTGTACCGCTATAACTTATCAGAAGTACTGTTTTATATACCATAAATATATTTCCTGTTCTGTTTCTCCATTTCTGAACTCAAATGTTAACAACTCTTTAGTCATTATAATTAACTATTGTAACTAACCCAATAATTTCTCCAGACCAAGGCCCAGGACAGTATCTTTTGCTCTGAAGAAGATAACAGCCTGTATTTCACATACAGCGGAAAATCAAATGTTCTTGAGGTCAAAGAACTCAACTATCAGGTAAAAGGTCTACCTTCTGTACGTCCCTTCAGCAGGGAACTTATCCAGCAGCTCCTGTTTCATTAAGCAAGCCCTCTTAAAAATAGTATAAAGTTGATGTTCATGCAAATATTGCACAATCAAATATACAAAAGTTTTTTAAGGAGAATCACACTCCTGGCTACGGTACTAACGTGAGGCTAAACTATGCTGTTGTATAATATATCTAGTAAAACTAGGGAATGGTACAGGAAAAGAGGTCCATTTCTAGGCTCTGTTTTCCCTCTGTCTTGAGCTAAATTATTCCTCTCAAGACTGAGTTCTTGCCTTTGCTGGCAAGAACGAGCATGCAGGAGACAAGGAGAGGATGATAAACATAAGGAGGATTTCAGGAAGCCAGTGAATTTTTTCACTTTTGTGTCACATGGCATCTAAAGTAAGCTTCACAGTTTTCAGTATTGATTCATTTCAAATTGTATTAAAAATTAAGAATATACAATAGCAATAAACTACCTAAGTAAGGTAAAGGACAGATAGTTTTAATGATTATCAGAAATAAGAAGCAAAGGATGAAAACCATACATGTCCAAAAAAGATTTTTTGTCTATATTTCTGAATATTAACAATATTATTTTAACATATTCTCTGATTTACTACAACTTTGAAAGTATTTAATGTTAAGTAGTTTAATGTAGGAATTGAAGAGAGACTTTCTTTCTTTCTTTGCTAGGTTAACACGGCATCCCAGATTCCCTGGTATGAGAAACTCACGCAGATGCAAATGCCATGGACCTGGAACTCAGGTCCTAATTCTCGTGTGTCAGTAATCCAGAATCTGAATTTAAAAGTTCAAAGTGGCCAGATGCTAGCTATTATAGGGAGCACTGGTAAGAACAACCAAGTTTCATGATTTGACTAATTCTTAGATAAAACACACACAATCAAAAACAATATTCCTCAGTCTTCTGAATGGCATAATCTAGCTGACAAAGAACTACTGGAAATGTGTCACTTAAATACATTCTTTAAAATGTACATTTTGAGAAATAGAAACATATTGGAAAAATATATTTTGAATTTATTTTCAAAAAACTTTTACATTATGGCTTGTATGTTTGCCATGTGTTTCTTGAGGTGCAGTGTTGTTACAACTATGTTCTGCAGCCCCATCTCTGTTAGACATGAAGCAGCTTCATGGCTCTCATAAAACAGGCAAACTGCAGACCTTACCCAGTAACAATGCAGACATGAGGCCAGACCCTGTAAGAAAGATCAGTTGCAACTGGCAGCAATTCCCTTCACATGCAAACAGGTCTTATAGAATAAACTATCACCTTCAGATTAATTAACAGAAACTTGAAAAGAAAGGATAATGCCTCTTCTATTTGGCTTACAGTGTCTGAAAACTGGGGCTCTGGTTTCTTGCATCTTTTTTTTTTTTTCCTTTCATTTTCTGGTAGTAACGGTTTAATCTTCTCAAGGATGAGGTTGCCTAATAGAGAGTTGGCCTTTGCCCTAAGTGGTTAGTGAGACTTAGCTCATCTAGGGGGATAAGAAGTAGACATGTGATGCATTAAATTGAAGTAATAAGTACCTATGCTTTGAAAGTAAACCAAACAAAACCGCAAAAAAACATGCTGTGCTTCCACTAAACTCTTACATTAGGTTAGCTCAGTGATTCAGTGAAGATGCTCTCTTTGAAAAAGAAGGACAAAGCATATTTGCCACAGAAGTTTTAACATTATTTCTACAGAAGAGGTTTTTCTTTCCCATTGCTATGGGGGATTTTTCTTAGCACGTATCTAATGTACTGGAAATTGTACCTTAGAGACGCCCCATAGCAAAAGGAAAAAAATTGTGATGAAATAACATTGACTTACAGATATTAGATTTTTGTAAGGTAACGTACACTGGGTACAAACCCTTTCAGCAAACTAGTCAAGCTATTTTAAAAAGCTGTTTATCATCTATTTCATCAAATGCCTTAGTAAAGTGGATTAAACTGCTGATGAGTCTCACACTGTCAATGGCAATCAATATGCCACTCAAACATAGCAATATGTAGTTTACAGATGGACAAGTTTTTTTTTTTGTTTTTTTTTTAACATGTATATTAAGCAACAAGTGTGGAGTTAATTTTTCAACAGGAAGACTGGAAACGAATGATATCTAATCATAATGAGAGCTAAGTGTGTTTGCATAAAGTATCATATGGCATAAGGGAAAAAGTCATTTGCTATTTAAATCCAAATCAGGTTTTGTTTTCATTGACTTACTTTCCTTACCTCTGAGCATGAGCCAACTTTTTCTTAATTATTAAAATGACTTTTTGTCTTGTTTAAATCACAGTTATCTAAGTCATGCTTCAGAGTCTTATCAGCTGTATAATTGCTCAGTGCCTTCGTCTTTAAACTGCTTAGCTGCTGTTTCTGAATTCACAATTCCCTCCACAAAGCAAACTTCTGCAAAGCGTTTAGGTGCCAGCCCAGCAGCCATACATTTAGAATGGTAACTAGCGGACAGAGATCTTGCTTCTTAAATTCAGAGCTGTTCTCAAAAGCCAGCTACCCAGTTCTCCTAGGACATGTCAAAGGTTAAAGCCATGTAATACATTCTGGATGGAAGAGGTTTCCTGATCATGAGCTTGCAGTCAGGTGTCAGTATTTTCTTTCAAGATCATTCCACCTCTGCAGCTTTAGAAAAGCAACACAAGGTGTTGAGGAAAAGACGTTAGGGAATGAAAACTTCTATTCTCTGTGACTAAATCACTTTTCAAATGGATGCCCTAGAAATTTGTTTTCTAATTTTGATTGTTTAGGTGGTGGAAAGACATCCTTGCTTGACGTGATAACCTGCCGGGATCACGGAGGGAAAATCAAGTCTGGTCAAATCATGATCAATAACAAACCCAGCACCCCCCAGCTTGTCAAGAAATGCATTGCACACGTGCGGCAGGATGACCGACTGCTTCCCCACCTGACTGTCAGAGAAACGCTACTGTTCGTTGCCAAACTGCGCCTTCCAAAGTTTTTCTCAGACTCACAAAGAGAAAAAAGGGTAATTAAGCTGTTGGAAAAAAATAAAGTTGTCAAAAATGCGTCTGACAGGAACTATCCGAGAGATCCTGTGTGCTTGGAGTCAGAACAGCTAATCTGGCTTTTTTTTTTTTATATATACGTAGATTATGAATTATGAATCTTTTTCCTTTTTCAAGATAGAAACCAGCAATTGTTCCAATGCTCATAAAAAATGACAATCTAGAGAAAGCATTAGAGAGGCTGAAAGATGAACTAAATTGCTGGTCGCTGAGCATTTTTTAATGTTATCCCTAAAATCAAGATTTGTTTTCAACTGGATCTCGATCAAATAGCACCATAATATCCAGATGAATTTTAACTACGTCAACTATATTTTTTGGCTTTATCTGTGCAGAAACATGTCAAGAAACTGTTTTATCCCTGTTACCATTTGGATCCCCCCAGGTGGAAGATGTTATAGCAGAACTACGCTTGCGGCAGTGTGCAAACACGAGGGTAGGCAACGAGTACCTCCGTGGTGTTTCAGGAGGTGAGAGGCGGAGAGTGAGCATCGGTGTGCAGCTGCTCTGGAACCCAGGTGAGCAAAACCCTGACACCTTCCTTGTGCCCCCCACAAACCACTGGGGGTGGTTAGAGAAAATAGTAGGGTTCAGGGAAAAGCCAGACACACATACACTTCTCAAGACACTTAATGGATCTTGCATTTTCCTCTGCCAGATGTTCACTCCTCATGGCAACATCAGGCACAGTTGAGGGTGTGCTGATCCATTTGCTTAAATCCCAACTCTTGCTGACCACAGATTATAACGTAATTATTATAGTCACGGTTATATAAAAGGAGTGGTTCAGGAGCCAGCCCTCTTTGACTTCTGCCTACGCACAAGTACAATGTTAACAAGGGAAGGGGTCATTTTCTTGGTAGCACTGGAACTCATTGCGGTCTTGTGCAACTCTGATGTGGCTGGCTCGTTACAGGTGAACTAGAAATTTCTGTCATTTTGTCATTTTCACTGGAAGCAAAAGAGAAGGCTAAATCTACAGGTGCTTTTGCAAGAATGAATTCCCTATCTGCTCTTACACATATCAACAGCACCACTGATCTTACCTCAGCCTCTTGTTGAGCGAGATTTCCTATCAGCTCCTCTACTTCCACTGGGAAATGTATCTGATTTTTTTTGCTGATAAAGAATTATAATTTTGCAAATAAAGGGAAAGCAGAAGCATTTTTAGTAAGAAGCAATGCTCACGAATAGATGTGTTGGTACTGAAGTAAAAACATTAGTTCAAGGAAAAATAAGTAAAGATTTCTTTACATTTCAAACACACATTACACCCCTCAGCACAGAAACTATGTCTGTGTACAGACAGTGCCTTGCGCTGACTGAGGCCATGAAGTTTTCTGGCAACACAAACACTGCAAAGTAACAAAACCCTTTCAAATTTTTAGCAACCAATTGCAAAACAAGAAAAATTCAATTTTATGCATATCTCTTGGTATCTGGGTGTGAACAGGCATGAAGTAGCTTCTCCTCCCAAAGCATGCTCTACGTAAATTAATACTTTGAGGATTTACACATAAAAAAGGTCTAAATATCAATTAAGTATATTTAATATAGATTAAAATATTTCAGCAGGCAGAATATAAAACTATTACTATTGTATATTCACATACAATGTTCACATTTGTACAGGCAAAGTGCAAGAACTGCAGAGTAAAACATTAATTTAGTAAGGAACCTAAATCTTCATTCCAGTGAAAATCAGAAACATTACTCTTGTTTCCAATAGGACCAAGACAAAATTTAAAGTACCTACTACATAGTCATTATGTTCAATGAGACAGTGGAAGGAGGTTGCCATTGTTGAATATTACCTGGTGCTGGTGTGAAATATACTTTGTACTTTTAAAAAAGGAATATAGCGGTGAGATTTCTCATGGTAATACCATATTTTCCAAATCAAGCATGCTGTGTTCCACAGCTAAACTTACTGTCTTTGGCAGGAATTCTGATACTTGATGAACCCACATCTGGACTGGACAGTTTTACTGCACATAACCTTGTGATAACGTTATCCAGACTGGCCAGAGGAAACAGATTAGTTCTTCTTTCACTGCATCAGCCCCGGTCAGATATCTTCCAACTCTTCGATTTAGTTCTCCTGATGTCTTCTGGAGTCACTGTCTATTCCGGAACAGCCAAGGACATGGTCCAATATTTCACAGAACTAGGCTATCCCTGCCCAAGGTACAGCAACCCTGCAGATTTCTACGGTTAGTATCATGTACTGACAAAGTACTGCCATAAAAAGAAGAAAAGAAAAAAAAAAGAAAGATTATTAGAAGTCATTTGCTTTCTTAAGCCTATCAGCTAACATTGATTTTTATTGACCATAACTGTTTTAGAAATGCCTTGTCACTGTCAACAATATTGTACTAAGTTCAGTTTTGAACTGAAGTGCAACAAGGCCAAGTGCCGGGTCCTGCACCTGGGGCACAATAACCCCAAGCAGAGCTACAGGCTGGGAGATGAGTGGTTGGAAAGCTGCCTGGCAGAGAAGGACCTGGGAGTGATGGTTGATAGTCGGCTGAATATGAGCCAGCAGTGTGCTCAGGTGGCCAAGAAGGCCAACGGCATCCTGGCTTGTATCAGAAACACTGTGACCAGCAGGGCTAGGGAAGTGATCGTCCCCCTGTACTCGGCTCTGGTGAGGCCGCACCTCGAGTACTGAGTTCAGTTTTGGGCCCCTCACTACAAGAAGGACATCGAGGTGCTTGAGCGGGTCCGGAGAAGGGCGACGAAGCTGGTGAGGGGTCTGAAGAACAAGTCCTACGAGGAGCGGCTGAAGGAGCTGGGCTTGTTCAGCCTGGAGAAGAGGAGGCTCAGGGGCGACCTTATCGCTCTCTACAGATACCTTAAAGGAGGCTGTAGCGAGGTGGGGGTTGGCCTGTTCTCCCACGTGCCTGGTGACAGGACGAGGGGGAATGGGCTTAAGTTGCGCCAGGGGAGTTTTAGGTTGGATGTTAGGAAGAACTTCTTTACTGAAAGGGTTGTTAGGCATTGGAACAGGCTGCCCAGGGAGGTGGTGGAGTCACCATCCCTGGAAGTCTTTAAAAGATGTTTAGATGTAGAGCTTAGAGATATGGTTTAGTGGGGACTGTTAGTGTTAGGTCAGAGGTTGGACTCGATGATCTTGAGGTCTCTTCCAACCTAGAAATTCTGTGATTCTGTGATTCTGTGAATATGATCCCCATTTGTCAATGCAGGAAACATAGCAAATACAAGAGAGAGGAAAAAATCAGTTTTAAATAACCCTCTTAACAGTGCCAGGTGTAGCAACTCTTCCAAAACTTTATCACACTTATTCCCATGTTTCAGCTGGTTGAAACTTTTATCCTCAGTGGTAAAAGACATGCAGGAACTGATCAGTTGCTTTCATGCAGTCAGTTCTATGAACTCTGTTCAATAAACATAGGAAGCCAGTTTCCCAGGGTGTGTAATCATACATACCTTGAAGAGGAAATGAGAAAGATGAGAGTTGCCCAATAGGGCATAGGAAGGGAGGAGGAAAAAAAAACAAAACACAGTAACAGTAACATTTGATTCCTCTTCTCAAAAACAAACAAACAAAAAAACCTGCATGGCTCTAAGTCCCTTCTTTTTTTTTTTTTTTTTTTCCTCCCAACATGCAAAGGGAATATGGCCTTGTTAATCTAATGGCAGTAGTCTTTTACCCCAGAGGTTGGTTCAATTCTTACCTTCAGGTCTTTGCGTTCAAGTTGTTTAGGATGCCTTGTACAGACACCAACTACAATGCTCTGGAGTAACCTCTTCAGCTCTGCTTACGTGTCAGTTCATATCAGAATGCCTATCAGCTATGATAGACAGAAATTAATGTCAAGCCCAACAGAGACCTTTGTCACCAACGTGGTTCAGAGCAGTCCTGCCCAGCTCAGTGCAGCCCTGGGTGGGGGGCCTTGCAGCACACCTGGATGGGAATGGAGCATTTAGGGCAGTCCTCAGAAGATGAACCCCTGTGACATGGAGGCAGGTGGGGATGAGGAAGGGAGGTGAAAGATCATTCAGTGCAATGCACTGAGCCACCACCCACAGGAAAGGCAGAGAATATGGGCTGCAGGAAGATGGAAATGGAACAGGAAAGCTAAAGATGCCACAGCAAGGAGGAGGACCTGAAGGAAATGCACAAATGCTGGCAGTGTGGCAAGTAAGAGAAACAGGAGAGTCTCAGAATGAGAGAAGGCAGGCAGGTTACAACTCATTTCTCTGATGGACCCCTGCTGAAATGTGGCTCAATGGAGACAGTCAGCTCAACGTAAGGAATTACCAGATGCACAGAGATAATTCTCCCAGAAAGCGTCTGCGAAGTATCAGGTAGTGGTGCTCGACACTGATGCTCAGCACTGGAAAACACTACTACAAGTTTAGATTTTAAAAAATAATTTGTTTAAAAAAAAAATAAAGCTAGGTGAACTACTGTTGCTGCTACTATGTTTTCCTTGGGTAATATTCTTCTTAAGCTCTCAGTATCTACCTAAAGTAACTGATAAAAGTTTTAACTGTTGTAGCTTAACGCATGCACACAGCTCATACTGTCTGTTCACGATATAATCTCTGATTCTAAACACATCATAAAGTTATCACAGCTGTAGCTTATGGACTTATGTCAAATAATGTCTTGCAGTTGATTTGGCCAGCATCGATAAACAGACTGCAGAAAAGGAGATAGAGAGCCGAAAAAGGGCAAATATTCTTGCCAGCTTGTTCCTAGAAAAAATCAAGACTTTTGATGATTTCTTATGGAAAGCTAATGAAGACGACAACGTTGTGAACACAGTCAGCCAAAAAAGGTGAAGAAAATAATATCATATGGCAGATCTGGAATAACTGCTACAACTTTGGCTAATTTTTTTTTTCCCTCTTTTGTACAGCTCCCCTGTAAAATCAGAAGAGGCTATCCACATGCCTTACCATGCCAGCAATCAATTACCAGGCGTCTTAAGGCAGTTCACTGTATTATTAAGGTAACCTTACCTCCATAAACAACTACGTATCATGTTCATTTGTATTTTAAAAAATTAAAAAGCACAAAATGTGAATTGAGCAGGTGCTGAAAGCGCACACCTAGCACTACTAGCACTAGGCCTGAGCGAGCCATGGAGCTGAGGTGTTCCTATACTGGCTCACGCCAGGCCTCTGAGCAGGGTGGTGGGTAGCAGCCAGATGTCCAGCCCCTTGCTTTCTGTCCCAGGGCTCCTTCCAGACAAAAATCACCTCCAGCTCAAACTGTTGCAAGCCTGTACCTTTGGGCAGCAGGAGCCTTGAGGCTCAGAAATGTGTGTGTCCCAGTTTTGGGTACCACCGTCCTGATCTCCACACACACACCAAAGCGCAGTGACTGAACCCTCAGCAAGTCCAGACAGCCGTGTGGCAGGCCTAGGTGCTGCCATCCTCACACCTCTGCCTTGATACGAAGCCAGGCTTCACTCACTGAGTATAGCCAGCATGGATGGATAGTGGTAGCTGGGTTTCATGCTTGTGTTCTCAAAAGAAATAAAACCAAGTGGTTTAATACATGTAGAACATCACTGATAGTAACATCTAGTACTAGTGTATACTACAGGCCCTTAACAAAGAGGCTTTAGCTGAAATAATTGCTTCTGTGTCTTCAAAATGAGATCTTCCAGCTGCCATGGGCTTCACACTTTCAGCATTTCAGACCTGAAAAAGTAGGCTACTACCAATCCTCAGCAGCTTTGATTAAATAAAATCATGTTCAGAACTGGGCAAACTCCCAACCTACTCAAAGTCAGCAATTCCACAAACTGCTGTTAGCAGAGCACTTGGGGCAATATATCTGAATATATCTGGCATTAGTAAGGACTATACCTTGTGATCAATATTGTTGTTTTCCAGTCGTCAAGTCTCCAATGACTTCAGAGATCTTTCAACACTACTAGTCCATGGAGTTGAGGCCCTCATCATGTCATTATTAATAGGATTTTTGTACTATGGCCATGGAGAAAGCAGACTCTCTATTCGTGACACAACAGCACTGTTGTACATGATAGGTGCACTAATCCCGTTCACAGTGATTTTGGATGTCATTGCCAAATGTAAGTGTGAGCTTTATTGTAAATGTTTAAACAATCACAATCAGAGAGCTCTCAAATCAATGAAAAATTATGTTTATAAATGCAACTCTAGGATGAAATGAACCTGTTTGCTTCTACCCTGCAGGTCATTCAGAAAGAGCTATGCTTTATCATGACTTGGAAAGTGGAATGTATTCCGTTAGCCCATACTTCTTTGCTAAGGTAAGTGGTTTTGATACCAGGAAATACACACAGATAGCTTAAAGAATATTCTGAAGCCTTGCTGTATAAATAATTGCATTTGCACTAGACTTCTTCTAGTGTGTCTGCCAGCTAAAGCTACCATTCTTGCTTCCTTGGTGTTAATTGATTAAATCTCAAACTACTTTGTATCTGTTGCCATATGTCATGGCTGACATCCATAAGGTTGTTTGGCCAAAATTTGGGAACCCTGAAAGTCATCTTCGGTGGTTTCATCATTTTTATGCACCTGAATGATTCATTAGCTGAAACATCTTTGAAGGTTTGATTATGTCTTGATCTATAAAACAGAGTATTTATATTAAATGCTACAACAAAAGTAAAATAGAAATGACAAAATGCTTACTGAGATTTCCAGTACTTGTTCAGGCCTGTACTGATCAGAGAGAAACAATTGTATTAAGTGTATAAAGAGCTAGATTTCCTGGAAACAAATTAGAACTTCAGAAAAATTACATTCTCTTTTTTTTCACAAGGGTTTAGAAGAATCCCTTCTTTGTGATGTTGCCACTGTGAGATGAGCTCTGCCTGCCATGGCATCTGTAATTTAGGTTTCCATTTCTGCACAAGATTTTAAATGCTTATTAGTGGTTGCCAGAGAAAAATATTCTTTGCATTGTGTCACAAAAATTGCACATTATTCATACAGGAATCGATGTAATTTGTTACAACCTTAGTATTAGAGGATAGTAGCAACTTTCTTTGGTAAAAAATAATCATAATACTACATGCATATGTATATACACACATATCTACATATATACGTATAACTGATATATGCAGACATCCATATAGTGTGTATATATATTTTTATCTTTACTGTATATATACACACACATGTATATAAATAAAATATATATGTTCAGATATTTGAGAAAATGCAAACCATATTCATGTTTTTGCAATGAGTTAGGAAGTTACTAACTGGACTACCTTTAGGACAAAGTGGTGAAGTGACCAACAGCCTATTTCAAATTTCATCTCATGCTAGGTTCAACCAAATTTGGACAAAATGTACACCTACAATGAGTCAGTAACAGTATTACTGCTCTCAAGCTCACCATTTCTTCATGAAATTCTCTTAAATTCTTAGAAACTGCCAAAACCATAACAAAATATGACATTCAACCTGTAAGAAGAAGCCTAAAAATTCAACATTTACAGAAATTATCATAACTAGGGAAAAAAATTAGCAAGGATTTCCATCTCTGTTGTTACTGAAAACAACCAAAGAGGAGATGATTGTATTCTAAGGGATTATTTCCCAAAGTTTTTCTAAACAGTCCATAAGTACATTAAGGGGCATCTCAGAAGGTTTTGTGATTATTGCTTAATATATTTTTTCCCTCCTTTCTGAACAGATTTTAGGGGAACTCCCTGAGCACTGCGCTTTTGTTCTAATTTACGGGGTTCCCATCTATTGGCTGGCAAACCTCATGCCTGACCCAGAGCATTTCCTGCTGAACTTCTTCTCGGTGTGGCTGGCTGTGTATTGTGCCCGCGGGATGGCACTTTGGGTGGCAGCACTGTTGCCAACCTTACAGCTCTCAGCTTTCTTAGGCAACGTCCTTTTCACATCATTCTACCTGAGTGGTGGTTTTGTGGTAAGCCTGGAAAACCTCTGGACAGGTAAGAGAATCCTCCCACTACCCCTCCAAATGAAAATGTCAATGGCTTTCATCAGCAATTGTTTGTAGTGAGGCTGAGTCCCATACAAGAAAACCCTCTTTTATTCCCACCTTTGCAATATCTTCATGGATAGTGACAGTAGAGTTCATTTTACATTAGTGTCTCCCTCTGAAGCTGAGGTAACAGTAAGCTTGGTTGAAAAAAGCACTAGTGAAAGTCTGAATTGGTCCCTACATTATTCAGTATCAAGTTATATTCAGTAGATGAAGATCTTCAGTAGAAGAACTTGAGTTGATAATGGGAGTCTGATAGATATATGTTCTCCCGTAATTTTTGATCTTTGTGTAATAATATAGGGTGTATCTGCCATTTTGTCCAGTAATAAGCTATCATACAGCCTTTGGTTGTCAAGAAATTAGACAAACCTATTTGGCAGCAAGACAGGAATTTGCTTATTTATATGATTTTTTTTCTGACTTTTTTTTCCAGTTCCATTTTGGGTTTCTAAAGTGTCTTTTCTAAGATGGAATTTCCAAGGCATGATGCAAATTCAGTTCACTGAAGCCAAATATGAAATGACTGTTGGAAACGTTACTCTTCACATTCCAGGAAAACTTGTAAGTCACTCTGTAATAAAAATCGTGGTAATTAACTAGAAAAAAAAAATTCAGTTCCTAATTTTTCATATCTGTGATTGCAGGTAGTTAAGTCTATGGGCCTGGATTCACAGCCTCTCTATGTAAGCTATCTCATCCTTGGTGGCAATATTATTGTTTTCCTGCTTTTATACTACTTATCATTAAGATTCATCAAGCAAAAATCAAACCAAGACTGGTAACAGTAAGACAAGCAGATGGGGCAGCAGGCTACAACATTCCTTGCAAGAAAACATGGCAAGCCCAAAGTTTACTTTTGGTAACCCTTGCGAAGGCACTGGGAGAGAAGATCCCTGCTGAGTTCCGCTGTACGAAGCGAGTCCGGTTCGCCACAGGATGGCAGCAGAACACCAGGAGTTGGAAGCCAGGTTGTGCTCCTCCATTCAGACAAACCGTGATAAAATTCAGACTTTAACATGGTGGTTTTTCCATTTTTTTTTTAAATTTGTTTGTTTGGTGTACAGTTTTATGTGTGACACCTATATGCACTGCATGCACCTTGAAATATTCTGAGCTATGAGTTGCCAATTTAAAAGGACCGATTCCACATTGTAATAGCTGATGTTCTAGGTCACAATCTTTGAATGCATGGCAATCACATACTTAACCAGAAGAGCTCTAAGAGAAGTAGGATCAGCACACACAAAACACTACTTACTGCAGCACGTACTCTGCATTCACTACTCATAAGAAGGAAAACAGAGGAAAGCAACATAAAAATTTTCACTGAAGCTTTGGGAAAACATGCGTGGATGACAAACACCAGTATTAGTTATTCCGTGCTGTTTCTAATTGCTTATGTGTTTAAAGACTTTGCCTTTGTGTTCCAGTTAGATGCTGTTGATGCCCAAAGTAATCTATACAGTGAAAAAGTACTTTTTTTTTTAACAGATAATTTTTCTTATCTTTTTGGATCTATTTTTACAGTATAAATACACACAAAGTGATTATTAATCACATCTTTCTCTGTGATATTACTAGACACAGCAATTTGCCAGTTTTGGTTCCTAAGATTCACAGGTAGAAAATACCAAAACTGCCCACCCAATAATTAAAAATCTAATGGTGCAACCTCTGAAATGCTTGTACTTATGCGCTTTCTTAAGTTCAGCCATAAGACACAAATGCTCAGAAAATTTGTAACAGTAAATAGCTATAATCCACACACAGTCACAGTAACTACATGTGCAAATTAGATGTACAGTTGTTAAAAATATTTTATAAGATTAGCTTGATTTTAAACATTTGGGTGCATATCTCTGTGCTTATATGCATCAAAAAAGCAAAGCACATCATTAAATGGAAGTAGAACAGATACGTTGCACGCAGTGGAAAACTCCTAGTGCTATGGACTATGGATACGGGATACTTATGTAAATCCTCTTTTATTTGTTCTTTAAAGAAATTGAAATGAAAGAACATCAATGTTGAATTATTTCCATTTGGCAAGCAGGGCTGCCACATTGCTTTCCATGGGATCCACGGGGTAATAAATTCCCAGGAAGACCCCAGTCTAAAGATGTTAAGCAGGTCTGATAAAATAAGAGATTCAGCCTCAGGCAGCAGCAGGAGTCCAAAGCACTTCAAGGTTTTTCTGAGGTGAATTCAACCATTTCTTCCTGGTTCTGCTGCATTTGATTTGGAAGAATATGCTTGATCTTATCCTAGTGCCATTTTGAAATTATCAGATTTTCATTGCCTTTTAATGGCAAAGCCAATTCTTTCAGTCCAATTCAGCATCATTAAATTGTCAGAGTAGCAGCTTCCTGTTTGATTCTTAATTATTCCTTTTTATTATATTTAAGACACTTAATTTTTTAAAGTGGTTTACTCTTCTTTGTAATGATCTGTTGTGATTAGAATCTCTTTTATATTACACTGAAGTTTTAAGGGTATATATTGGTACTTCTAGTCTAAACCTCTATTTTCAAGGTATTTAGAGGATTAAATTCTAGGCTGACTCTCTGTTGTGAATTCACTTTGATGTTTAATAAAAAAAAGGAGAGACACAATGGGAGAAATTAAAGACATAAGGGACAGCTCTGAATTTTAGGGGCATATTGTCATGCACAGAAATCTTCAGGCATCTAGATAAGAATATACCATAGCCTTAACTTTGAATTTCCTTCCTTTTGTGAAATTAGTCAGGCTGCTGACATTACTTAAACAGCCTTTTTCAATTTAAAATTCCACCCTCTTAACATTATGCAGCAGGACCAAACGGTGTGAGTGTTTCAGAGGTGGTGTTATGACAAGGGTAGATATATACATAATGGGGACGTGAGTTGTGAGCCTGGGAACAGCCATCTTATGGAGTGTAGGAAGAGCTATCATAGGATGTGGCCAGGCCTGTGTTTACACAGAAAAAGCTCATATTCTATATACTACAATTACTTCAGCACACTGCCTGTGATCATATCTTGTTTCCTTGATGCCTAGAGATGGGGAATGTAGGCTGTGATTATTGTTACAGGCTTTAGCAATAAGAAGATAGGAGCCTTGAAATACCAGCAATTAGCATTCATATCTAACAATAGCATGCCGTGGGGCTGTGTACAGGGAAGAGCAATGGGAAGAGTGGGCGGGTGACACACAACCTGCCCCACTCGCACTCCCAGGAGTTGAAAAACGCTACAGGTGTAGGGGAATTATGCGCCTCTCCGGGGGCGAAGATAATGCCGTAGGCTTTGGCCTCTGTGTTCCTGTCCTGCTCCACACAAGTTGCATGCAGAAAAGGTTTCACACTTCAACAGCAGAGCTGCTGCAAGAACAAGTGGTTAGTGACGGACAGAAATCTTCCTGAGTTCTAACAAAGGCTGAATGCCGTAATTTCAGCAGTTTGATTTCCAAATTTCAGGGTAGCCATTCTTTTTCCTTAGATTCCCGTGTCAGTAGAAGCTGTGTGTCCCCCTCCCTATGCTTCCTGTGTCAGGAAAACCAAAACTCAAGCAGTCTGCAACAATCTCAACACAGAGACTACAGATCACAAGCAAAACCATACGAAACTCACAGTACTATCTGTTCCTCACACGATGACATTTAGCTTGCTACATCCCAAGAAATGCGGTGAGTCAGTTTTCACATCCAAAGAGCGCGCTACCCTGCCAGCCTGGCGATGCCACAGCTCCAAGGCCTCCCCTGCTGCCAGCTCTGCTCTCCTGCATCCTCTGGGGGTAAGCTTGAAGAGGTCTTGTCAGCTGAGTTGTGGCCCCTGCAGCTGAAGGCAATTGAGTCAACACAAACCTGACGTCGAAGTGACACCGCATCGTATTGGTAACAGATCCCAAGTTGTCTGCCCAAGTGCTCTTGAATTGCCCAGTGCATGACCTGATCACAGCAGGCCACTGGGTTTCAGTCTGCACACACATCATAAGTGTGAGTGGGAGCATCAAATGCTGGCAACAACGCACCTCAAATTCAGAATAAAACTGTGTTGGTTGTAAGGATGTCATAAAAATAAACCCACATGTGGACAACAGAACTCATGCATTGGTACAACACCTCTGTGTACTAGAGGTGTTGTCTTCTCTGTAAAGAGACAGATAATAACAATGGGTTTATTACTTAAAATATTTTAAGTAACTTTCAGTAACAGCAGGAGAGGTGGGAAGTTCTTCCCCCACCTCCTCTCCAAGTTTGTGCAGCCTCTCCAGCTGGCAAATTGGACGATCTTTCTTAGCACTGCAAAGCGGGTTATGGAAGCACTGCTTTGCATGTTGGCTCCTGGGTTGTGGCAGTCCTCCAAAATACTTCTAACTCGTCATTTGGAAAGGACTAGCTTTCAGTCTGCCTAAGCTAAATTAATAAGTAGCTGTTGAAAGTTTCATCCCTTATTTGTTCATTGCAAAAGGCATTCAGAAATGCTAAATCAGTAACAAGTATCAATAGCCATCCATTTTTATTTAAACCACCACATCAAAAAAAAAAGAGAACCACAAAATGTCTTAAAAAAAAAAAAATAATCAGACAACATGCTACGCAGGGAGAACCTATCAGTAAGAAATTACAGGTATTGGTGTGTCCACTTGGACCAGAAATAACAAACCTTCCCGGCTTTAGCTACGATGATTAATTTTAATGGCAGTAGACAAGAAGCAGTGTACATGGAGCTCTGTGGCATGCTGCTTTTTTCCCCCCTCTGAGAGCCAAGACAAGCCCTTCATATGTTAGCAGCTATTAATTAAGGCAACAATGTTTAAGCAGTGGGTTGAGGTAATTTTAAAACTGCTTAACCCTTTTAAGAACTGATGAGCTTTAAAAAGCATGTGTGGAGCTGCATGTGTTGTAATCATATATATACACGTAGAGATACCCATATGATTAGATTACATATCTGTCTATATATATATATACTCAAATAAAATGCAGGTGGACAGCTCTTTTTTTTTCCCCCAAGGAATATTTAGAAAGCAGTTCAGATCCTTCACTTATGAAAATGTTGTTGACAATTTATGTAATTAATTATAAAACTAATTATTGACCATTTTCTCATTAAATCAAACATGGTTTTATTTCAAATTGAAAAACCTGTTGGGAATATTGTACTTTCGTGGTCCCAACTCAATACATTTAATGTTTCCAGTGCCAAGAAACTGCAATTTTACATACTCCCCCCTCAATCTTCACCTCACGGCTCCAGAACAAGCGTCTACCTTCAACAACACATTTGGATTTTTTGCTCCTTTTAAAGCATCTAATCAGAGTCACTCATATTTTGCTAACATTACCAAGCACGTGCCAGTACCACTTCTGCTTCACTTACATTTCTCACATTTAAGGAATAGGTTAAATGTTGGCCAGAATTCACATGGTGAGGAAAAAAAGAAACCACTTGCATTAAAAAAAGTGTATGTTGTACATGAGCAAATAAGCCCACAATACAGTCATCGGCTGCTACTGCACTGGGTTTTCAAGCAAATGCACTGCAACTGGAAATCTATGAAATGCACAAGTAGGCAAAAGCATGAAGTAGAGAACAGGTCACTTTCAATGAACTGCCAGTGCCTTGTGATGCTAATACAAGGCACCAGTTCACAGCATCATTCCTCGAGACATTATCTTTGCTCACTTTTACTTACTGGGGGCTGGAGGAAGTTTAGCAAACAACTACAGAAACTTTTATGACAGGAAAGACGTCATGTTTCACCATGAAAGGCATGAGATCGAAACGTAGCACCTCTATCTGCCATTGCAGCCTCAGCCAGCAGCTCCTCCCTGACACGGGATCAAGGCAAACATCTGCCCTCCCACCACACAACTCATGATGCTAAGGGGTGCCCTAAAAGAACTGCTTTCCAACAAACACCCGCATCATTTACCTCTCGCTCTTAAAATAGCTAATTGCTTTGTGGCACTGCTTCAACTAGCTGAAGGAAGGCAGAAAGCCAGAAAACAGTGCTCCGAAGAGCCAACAATAAAATGTGCTGCTCAAACTCTGCAAACCAGGACATGGGCTGTCCTAACGAGCTGACACAGATTTCCAGGTGGGACTGCTCTGTGGGTTTAGCACACCCTTAAAACCGTCACTGAATACAAGCTCTTTGCCCCATAGTCCCCAGCAATACCGACACGAGTTGCCATCCCCCGTTGAGCTGCCGTGGCACCGTCCCACCACCCCTGTGGTAACTCTGGGCGGGCATCACAGGTACAGCCGCTTCCCTACCTCCCTGGTGAGCCCCCATCTCCTATGACCAATCTTGTAAAAAAATACTATTAATAAAATAAATAAAAGCCTTTTGGCCAAGTGTTACTGCTACCTAGAACAGCAGGCTTTCTGGTTACAGCGGAGCTCAACACTGCCAAATGCTTTGGACACACATGCTTCAGATTTTTCCCTTCCAAAAGGTAGACAAAAGAAAGGTGAATGAATATTTAGCTTCGTATACTTCAGAGGGAATTTCTCAGTGCTTTTACATCAAAAATCGCATTGCAGCTTTGTAGTGCACATTCAGTGCCGGGCGCACGATAAATTTCCACTGAAAAACCCCGTGTACATGACTGACAACAGTAAAGCCACAAATTACCGTAATTTTATGCCCCCTGCAGCTAGTGGTATAAAACATAGTTTTCAACCTTGTTTTTACTTGCTGAATTTAGACAAATTTATGTTATTGATGACAGTGAAAAAGACACTCAGATGCAGAAATTGCATTCCAAGGCATAAAAACAATTTGGAGCTCAATATTTTATAGGTGCTACAGATGAAAAATATGGATGTCATTAAAACCATAAAGGAAAAGATGAAATTGATTTTTTTTTTTCTTAATGAATTTAACACTGTACACATACATATATCCAGCTAGATCAGGGCTTTTTTTTCCTCTCCATGGAATGTTGAACAGGTAATCATCTCTGACTTGTGATATTACCAGCTCTCTCTCTGAACATTAATGTTTGAAATACAGGCTAAGTCAACAAAATCACGAAGGAAAGCAAAAGCCTTGTTTAAGCAAAGCTTGCAGATCTATGGCTCGTAATGGATTTTCCAATGAGCACACACTTTCTATCCCATTTCAGATTTTTAGAGTGTAATTTTATTTACAGAGCATTCTGAAGGCCCTAAAAATTGATGATAGCTAAGGATGATTTACAGTTAAGCTAACCTCCCCACATGAACTATTCGAGCTGTTAGCTAAACTAATCAGAGGGAAATCCCAAGAAACCATGCAAGTAACAAGGGCAATGGTTTGATTTAGTTTTGTTTTATGTAGGAAGTGTTTCTAGTGTTTCAACAACTACCGCTGCAGATAACTGCAATTCTATAGATACCACTGCTTTACTACAATGTTACAAGGATTATCATCACATGAGAAACTGCGAAGCATTAGCCAATTATAGTACAGAGGGTGAAGAGTATCAAAGAGAAGCCTTGCATTAATAGTTTTATCTAAAAGCAGTGCAGTGCGCAACTCCTATCTACAGCAGGTACTGTGTAAGACAGTTTTTATTATCTCATTTTTGTAATTAGAGGAAACACTGAAAACTCAAACTGCAGCCATCCATATTTGCTCTTATTTCTAGACCTAATGGAAAACCCAGAACTTTGGGAGTGTAGCTGAGGATCTGCACGCTCATACTTCGAAATATGTCCTTGGATTAAATTGTGGTCCCAGTTGGAGCTACTAACTTCAAAGGAGATTAGGTTTCCTCTGGTTATCGATTCCCAAAAGCACTGGCAAGACACCAGAATCTGTAACCAGTCTGGAAGGATAATCTCTCTTTGTACTGACTTTACACAGAAATTATGAGAACAATTTTAAGAGAAGCAGAGAAATCTTTACTAAAAAGGCTAAAATCAATGGCAGACCAGCTTTCTCTTACCTGCTCACTTTTTCACCTTTACTGCAACAATATGCTGGTGCTGGAAACTGGCCTTTCCTTCTAGATGCTGACAGATCTCTCACAACAATCACTGAACAGCAAAACCTCCCGGTCGCGTTCATCACTCCTGTCACTTCCTCCTAAGCTGTGTTCCTGGAGTGTCTGGAAGTATCACACCTTTAAGAAAAGCAATAAAGACGGTGCTGCTCTGGTGAACACGTTTCCAGACTATTTCTCTGTCAGTATGTGCACTTGGTGCACCTACCATCACTGCTACGATCCTACCTTTTTACTATAAACTGCAGATGGATTCCTGCTGACTCAGGCACTCGATCTATAAAAACCTTTTGAGCTGCTGCTGCCAAAGATGCAATGCCTTCAGCTACTCAATTTTCAACAGTGGGTACACATTATCAATCTAGAGACAGCTACTAACCTACCAAGCTCCATTTCTTTCTGTAGAAAAGGGTCTTGGGAGACAGCAAGTTGAACAAACTGTTTCAGTAGATAAGGATAGAACTACAGCATATAATTAAATTATCGTGCTTTAAAACGACTATACTAGTAGTTAACAGAGAAACTTTTTCCATGCTGAGCTTAAAAAAAAAACAACAAACCAACAAGAAGCAGCCTCCTCCTGCCCAGTCTCAAGGGAAGGTGGAGGAAGGCAAGCCCCTAACGTGGCACAGGACCAACGTGAAGCGATCTCAATTCAAGCAGCAAGCTTTTCCCAGTCCTCTCAGCCCCAGTCAGGATGTGCTGGTATGCAAACATGTACGTGCTCACACAGCTTGCCTTCTCCAGTAACGCGTCGGGTCGGTTCACATCAGCACGCTCCCAGCTCCCTGGGGAGCCCCACAGAGAAGTGCACTCCCATCTCCCAGCTGCCACACCTGCTCCAAAACCCGCCCAACTCCAGTTACCCAGTGGCAAATACTTATTTTCTGCTTTAAAGGGATAAGTGCTACGGTCAGTATGACAGAGGAAGTTTTGTAACTGGTCTAATAAGTCACCCTGACAAGTTTGCAGGACTGCCATTCTGCATTTTGTCATCTCACAGGTTTCCTTCCTTGAATACGAAGAAAGAAATAGTGAAGCTGCCTACCTATTTGGTGAAGAAAAAACTAACCTTCTAAACTCGGCTCTTCATGCTTGAAATGGCAGAGTCTTACAGCACATCGATGCACAAGAAATATTTCAAGCGTATTCTAGACGAGATGGCACAAATGCCGATTCTGCAGAAACCTTCCCAGTAAAACATCGTTTCAGACCGAAGTGACCGTGTCCCAGGGTGGCACCAATCCCTCACTGTCCCACATTTTAAAGACAGGAGTGACTCTAGTCCTCTGTAATCATTCTTTAGTTGTACTGGAAACATTTACTGGAACAGAAAAGTCAGAAGCATTACCACACAACAGCAGGCTTTGCCTATCCTTTGAATGATGTCTGTCCTCCCACAACACATGGCCAGGGCTATTGCACAACACGATCCCAGGTGGTCAGCATGTCCTACCACCTATCGCCAGTCATTGCTGCCACAAAACCCTGGTACCATTTGGTCTTGTGCTCTGGCAGTGCCTCCCCACTGTTTGATCCTTTCAGCAGCGGGCTCATTCAGCCCAGTGCATCCCCTGAGGTCCCTCAAAATGCAATTTCAGAGCCAAGAATGAGGTAATTAATGTTACCGGTTTCAGACTATCAAATTTACTTTCCAAATTGCATCTACAAAATTTCAGGGCATTAATCTGTAGGAGCTCAGCCAAGCAGGGTAGGTGGAAAACACGCAGACACTAACTAGCACCTCGCAGGGTCAGACATCAGGCGTGGGCACTGCCAGCAGGCAGCAGACGCCTTCTGCCAGCATCAGCACCGAATAATGAAGGCTGCAGAACCTGACTACAAACAGCACCCAGCCTAGTGGGCAGAAGGCCTGATGCCACACGGGATCCCAGCTCCTCGTCAGCACAGTTACCTCAGGTCTACAGACCTCGGCTGCTGTGTGGACGTGGAGTGTGCTTTAAGTCCTCCCGTTCCTGAGGCCCTGCGCTACCTCAGTGAGCACGCGCAGGCCGCGCAGGCCTCGCTGCCTCGAGTTACGCTCAGTCTGACCCCGCCTACGGGAACACAGCCACTGCTGTGAAACAGAGAGGGGTGTGAGATGACCTCTAAAAACAAGATCTGTGGCACAAGAGGAAGGGCCACAAACTAGCTGATGCAGTCTTCAATTATTCTGCTATTACACTGAAACGCGTGTAATGTGGCTGCGGCTTTAGAAAAAACTGCAAGAGAGGGCATGAAACCGCTAGGCTATGAATAAAACCTCAAATGTTAATGCCTTCTGACAATATAGGAACAAAGGATGCCAGATGGCTAGAACCACTCAGGTACGGTCTGCTTCCCACATAACCCACCCACGTTCCTGACAAGATGCTTTTCAAGACTTTTCGTCTCTTTCCACCCCATTCTAGATTACTCTAATATCTTCGAAAGGACGATATTCTGCGGTGAATTCAAAAACCAGACATCACCCCCCAGCAGCAAAAAAACAACCAAACAAAACCCAACAAGTCAACCCAGCACCATCAACGTACCATGTCTCCATAGCACGCACAAGCCAAGTATTGAAAGACATCATAAAACCACGCTGACATTTTAGTGGACACAGATAGGATGCGTACAGTTTTTCGTTTGTTTGTTTTTTAAATAAACTTGAACATTCTCTGCAACACAGGGTTAGTTATGCCTCATTCCTCACAGGAATTTTCTGTGTATTTTTAAATACATTAGTTAACTAATTAGAAATGTTACTTAAATTTTACTAAAAGTTATGAGAATGAATGATAGATACAGTGAAACTACAACACACAAGCTAGATTAAAAGGTGTATTTTGTCTTAAACTATACCATTGAATCCCATAACAAGATACATTACACAAAAGACGTACATTTAGTAGAATCTAAAAAAAAGATGTGTTTATTTTTTTTTTAATAGGTACAGATGAATCCTGTTCTTTACCCTTCTACTTTCATGCCAAAGCACACTGACCTGGCAAACAACAACGAAAAATAATGCAGGTTGCTGAAGTCACAGTTGCACACCCCTCTAGCAACTTTCTCAATATACATATATTTGGTGAATTAACAGGAGCTGAAGTACAGTTCTAGTTACAGCAGATCATACATCAAAACAGAAATAACCTAGAAAGTGACATCGTGATATTTCATTAGCAATTTTAACATAAGAAAAGCCTATGAGTTTCCACCAGTTACAGCTATGGAAAGTGCTGTTTTAACACAGTATTTAATATTAAAAATTACACAGGACAACATGCTTCTTTAATTTTTTTATTATTGAATGTAATACTTAATTTCATAAACAACTAAAACATAAAACGACTGTTCATAATGTTTCCGATCTTCTTTTCTTCCATTTTTCCATATAGAATTTGAACGTCTCCTATAAAACAGAGTGGAATAAACAAGTTCAACGTTGTTAGAACTGAAAAAGTTACTAATTCTGAACAAAGTCTTACGTCCTGACAAAAGCAAAATCCATTATTCTCTGTCATAAAACTAGATCTGTATTGAAGTCTGTATAATTAAGAGAAATACCAAGGAGAGAGAATAAAAGGAGAACGAAAACCTTGCCAAAAATGCATAATGAAGCTTCTATTACATAATGCAATAATATAATCAATTTCACTTTAAAAATGAAAATACTTTTTAACTGCAATCTGCAATTGTGTCAAAAATTCTAAGATGCTTTTAAACACCAAGCTGCATCAGAGAAAAATGAGCAGGAAAATCAGAAGATGAATCATTCCAGTGACTTTGAAATAAACACTTATTTTCACTAACTACATGCAAGAAACAGACACTCTAGGTTTTATATTTACATACCTAAATAAAAATTTACTTCTAAAATTAAGTTAAAGTTGTAGAAAAATCTCTGAAGCTGTTAACAGGCTAAAACAAACATTTTGAGCCAATTTTTTTCCTCTGATTTTTTGTAAAATGAGAAAAAGAACCTATTTATTATGGATCAGGATGGATAAAGTAAAATTTAATTATGTCTTCAGAAAACTATAGAAAAACACTAATTTTATGATATGTGGCTAGCAGATAGCAGTAAAATTTTGGTTAGAGAGAAAATATAGTAAGTCTTTACTTAAAGCCTGTTTTGCTGAAATGATACTAGTAGACTATTAGTCAAAGGAATGATGTGAAAGAAGTATTTGCAGTCTTGATAGATGTAGTGTCATGCCACCTGTCACCCTCAAATAAGATACATTTGCACTGTTGCATATATCTTTTGGCAAGGCAACTAGAAGTAAAGCTAGACAAATAATTCCTGCAGTTCTAAAATCCCATCATAGCAAGATAGCAACTTGTATTAGATATAAAGCTAGTAATTAACAAAAACTAAAACCCATTAACTGTTAACAAAACACACTTTCTATAAGCCTTTTAAAGTTCAAGCACTTAAATGCCCCAGGGACATTTGATAAACATACACCTGTAGATGAGTGCCTGATAAGGGTTGTGTAATTTAAACACAGTAAGCCCCAAGAGTTTTATTTCCCCAAGTCAAATCCAATGCAAGATTACTATAGCTCCTACAACACTCTGTACTTCCTACATGGCCTCCTTTGAGGAGCTTCTGCAGAGATTTAATCCCTATGTAATTATTCATGCAATTTGTTTTATTAACAAACATACACAATTCCGCAGATCTATTTCTTAATTAGGAAATACTCACAGGGGGTTCAGTGAAAGGGACCGGCTCTCCTACTTTCTTCAGAAAAACTGCTAAAGATTTCAGGGATAAGTCATGAAGCTGTATATTCTTTTCTTTTGATTTCTCATACGCAGCCTTTACGGATGCAACATCCCCATCTAATTCTGAGAAAAATAAAAATAAAAATCAAAAACAAAATCCCCAATAGTTAAATGCTCCTTGTTTCACCTGTTTCCATGACGTTACTCATTCCCTTTCACTTCCCAAGGCATATTAAATATTTTAGTATACAATATTCTGTAATAATATTGATAAGCTCAACACAAGCCAGCAATGTGCACTTGCAGCCCAGGAAGCCAACCATATCCTGGGCTGCATCAAAAGCAGCGTGGCCAGCAGGGTGAGGGAGGGGATTCTCCCCCTCTACTCTGTTCTTGTGAGACCCCACCTGGAGCCCTGCGTTCAGCTCTGGGGCACCAGCACAAAAAGGACAGGTAAGTATTAGAACAAGCCCAGAGGGGGGCCACAGGCAGACAGGCTGAGGGAGTTGGAATTGTTCAGGCTGGAGAAGAGAAGGCTTCAGGGAGACCCTACAGTGGCCTTCCAGTACCTAAAGGGGCCTACAGCACAGCTGGGGAGGGACTCTGTCAGGGAGCGTAGTGACAGGACAAGGGGTAATGGCTTTAAACTAAAAGAGGGGAGACTTAGATCAGACATTGAAAAGCTGTGGATGCTCCATTCATCCCTGGAGGTGTTCAAGGCCAGGCTAGATAGGGCTTTGGGCAGCCTGGTGTGGTGAGAGGTGTTCCTGCCATGACATGGTGGTTGGAACTGGGTGGTCTTTAAGGTCCCTTCCAACCCAAACCATTCTG